TACATGTCTGAGGCTGCACGAGGGTGTTAGGAATATTCATTTTCATGTAAATTAAATATTAATATTTCTTAAAATGACAGTGTATTTCCTTTTGAAAAAGTTTTGTTCCTGTCTTCATCTTCAGGCAAGTGATAAGATTCTATAATTAGGTAATGACTTACGCACATTGGAAACTTGAAGTCTGTTTTGATTGATTGATTGATTGACAGCTACACATTAGCGGAGTTTATGTATTCAACAACGGTGTTAAGTTATGATTATTACTATTATTTATTCGTAATTTCGTACAAAGCAACAATACGTACGGTATATGAAATTATTCGAATTACTATCATTAATTCATTTGCAATCTATAAAATTTGAAAATCACCATATTTAGACGTTCTAACATTTGTTCGGCTGTAGCATCAGGCCCACAGTCTGTCATTTCAGGATCTTCCCATATAGCTGCACTTAATCCATCTCCTTTACATGTTCGTTTAGCACGAGGCATGCGATCTAATTGTTCAAACACAGACATGATTTATCTAATTAGATTGGTAGAGCTTGCACGTTTAATATTGAATGAGCTCCAACATGTTTATCTGTTGGATATGATAAAGAACAGGCAATACAGTAAATCTAAATAAATTTGAACATTGATTACATTGAGGAACTGCAATTTCAGTTTCAGTTCCCCCAATGAGAGAGTATATTCAGTATATCCGGGCCTCGAGCACTAAAATATAAAATATTAATATCCATAAACACTCTTTAGAAACAGTCCTTTTCTATATGAGTACACAATAAAATTTAGTACAGTATTATTATGGTGACACCTTAGGGACCAAGAAGCATCTGTTTATTTAAGATGTCATGATGGTTTATGTATACCCCTATTTTTAGAACCCGACCAGAGTCCCCTGAATTTTCAAAACACAAAATACAACTTGAAATTGAGTCTTTCAATTTTAAAATGTTGAAGGTCTGGGTTGACTTGAAATATGATGTACTGTATTATACTATTAGTAAATAAGTGCGTTGTTTGCTTGCGTAAGGGTATCATAGGAGTGATGTTATCGTACCGAATACTTCGAACGTTCCAAAATACTTGCGAAAAGATTACCTGAATCACTTGAAATTTTTTTTTCATAAGTATTTGGGAACTTATTGTATTTGGTACGATAATACATGTCAGGTATAGCGAAACGTCACACCTATAATCTGTTATTTATGTTTATTTAAAATAGAAGCATTTAAAAAATACATGTTTTTATGCTTACAATTCACTTTACTTTCGCCACACAATTCCTCAGAATATACAGTGTCTCCAATGTTGGCATCAGGAAATGTGAGTTCATCATAAACTTCTTTGTAACACATTTCTATTTTAAAATATTAGAAAACAGAAGTTGCTGTTCATGGTTTGAATATTTGACTAGACATTTGTTTTGCCCTTATATCAGCAACTCATCTACGTCTTTCTCTCTCAATACAAATGTATAATGTATTGTAAGATATAATTTACTTTATTTCCTTGAGCAAAAACAATGGTAAAATTTACAAAACAATGTACAGTAAATGTTTTACAATCAGCGATAAGCTACTATATTCATATTATATAATAAAATTAAATATTATTATTTGTGTGCTTTTTCAAATTTTATTAAACTTCTTATTTATTATTTTGGTTTATGTGTCATTGAATGTTTGTGCTCTATGAAATTCAATTTTTTATATTGCATTTAGATTTTAATAGTGAATATACATTGTAATAGAAATTGTAATAGAAGAGCTAACAGAAACTGAATGTACCTGTGCTGCTGACAATGATGCTATCGGAGATTAGATATCCATTAGAAATATTTGCGATTCTGATGAGTTCATGAGTTAGAGTTTCCAACAATTTATTGTATGACGTATTTGTATTTAACACATAGAAATTGGCATCAACAACTATACTACCAGGGGAAAAGCTGAGTATGTGTATCCTGACATCTTCATTTAATGACAAACTCTCGCTCAACTTAAAAGCAAAATATTGCATATTACTTTTATTAAAATGTTCAGTATAAATAATAATGACGATAATGATAATAATATAATGATGGGCCCCTATACATTCTTTGCTAATGCCTATAGCCACACACAGACACAGACACACACACACGCACGCACGCACGCACGCACGCACGCACGCACGCACGCATTTCATATATAATAAACACTGAATGGATATAAAACTGGAAGGCTGCATTGGCAAACAAAATAGATAAAACAAAAAACTCCGGAGAGAAAGTAATAGGTTGCCAGGTATATATTTATTTAATAGTGAGCAAACGTTTTCGGTTATCAACCTTTGTCAAGCTCATATATATATATATATATATATATATTCATATATTCTGAGTTATTTAGTACTTACAAAGTCTGAGATATTAGAAGACAGCTCATTGAATTCTTTCGATGACGGATCGTTAAAATTTACCTCAAAGTTTAGGTTAAACGTCAAAGACACAGATAAAATTGAAGTGCCTGATTTAACTAGAATTGAAAAAGAATAAAATCTTGACAAAAATGATTTTCATAATATGTCTATATATTTCTCATCATGAAACATAATTGAAAAGAGAAATATGCATTTATACAATGTCTCTCACACAGTATACAAAATTAAAATACAATATATAACTAAGCATCTTGATAAACATATCAAATCAACAACTATAACAATTATTATAATATAAGCAAAAATAACAGTAACAGTGAAAATTGCAGAGCAAGAGTTATATTAGTAATACACTAACCACAGCAAATATAGCGACTACAGCAACAGCAATGTCAAAACTACAACAGCCATGCAGTAACAATAACAATAATTATACAATAAAAATAATAATATTAAGAACATCCAAAAAAAACATAGACAACAAAGGCGATGAGTATGAAGAACATGACAACGATAACGACGATGATCATGATGGTGATGATAATGATGATCATGACGATGATGACGATAATAATAGTAGTTGTAACTATAACTATAAAAATACAGATCTTCTTTTTCATTTACGTGATATGCTACTCTACTTAATCAAACAAGTTCTTAGCCAATGGCAAAAGATTCTTGCATTGTTGCTAAATTTGCATATATATGTTTTCTATTTCAGTTACTCATGATTTCAAATTTAACTGCACTGATTGTAATTTTGAACTTTCTTCCTAGCTTTTATAATTTATTCATTTATTATAAATTTATTTTTAACAAATGCTATTAATGTACTTTACTATGATAGGGGCACTGTGTCATTATGTTTAAATTAAGATAAACTCTATTCCAGCTGTAGAACATTTTCGAAGCCTCTTACTACACTTTCAAGTTTTATGAGAAAACAATGTGATTTGCTCATATTGATATTACACCTACCTATGTCACAGTTGGCACCTGTCCAAAATGGTAAACAGTCACAGATGTAGTAGTTGATGAAATTAGTACATGTTCCACCATTTAAACAAGGTTGCGCTGAGCACTGTGGTATTTCTGAAATACAAAACAATTATGAAACTTTATTAATAGAAAATTTCTTTTTTTAAATCAGGTTTGCAATTGATTACAGCAAATAATATTGTTTGAGAATAATTAAAAATTAGCCATGGCTACTGGCACTGGCAGATCCATGAATTCGAAATATAGAGGAGATATATTTAATTCAAAGTTAATATTTTCTTGATACAAACCTGTTTCACAGTTCGTTCCGAGCCATCCAGCAGGGCATATGCAATCGTAACTATTAATCTGGTCGATACAAGTCCCAAAGTTAAAACAGGGGACACTTCTACATTCATCAGTATCTGCAAAAAAATAAAACAAGAGAAAAATGTTTAAAAATAATACAGTAAAATATATAAATATGTGCAACAAATAATATTAAGGGCTCTTAAGTAGGTAAGCATACAGTAGACCCTCAAACGGCTTCATGGTCAAGTGGTTACATCTTTCCCATCTATTCCTGGTGGAGGCTGAGTTTTTCCTTTCTTTGTCAGATTCTTTGTCGCACTTAAATTTGATATGTATTTGTGGTTATACCAAATTGTTGTTATTTAAAAAAAGACATTTGAAAGGCCATAAAATAGTATTAGTACTATTTGGAAGATTAGCCAGCCAAATATTTGGCTCCGTTTTTCGCCAGATTGTTATAACATCAAGAACAGCAAAACATAGGAATTCCGATGGTGAAACAGGGGAGGGGAAATCACTTTATACACTGGCCATACACAAGTTGTCCAAAAATCTTCTCAAACTCTGGGATCATCTTATGTATTCACCTTCCATACTTACCAATATCACAGTTGATACCTTGCCAACCAGGTGGACAATAGCAGGTGTAGCGATTAGTTCCATCGAAGCAGGTGGCACCATGCTGACATGGAGAACTTGCACATTCATTCAGATCTGAAATTTGTGTTAGAAAAAGGTAAATTATATGATATGTTACAAATTGGTTTTAAGTATGCTGACAGAAAAAACAACAATTGCTAAACCAAACCACCTCTTACCTTTGCATGAAAAACAACCAAAATGGTGATGAAATTTACTTTTTACATATCATAATGGTATAGGAAGATTCACCACCCACCACCACAAGAGCCCTGCTCTTGATCTTCCCTAGGACACCTAGAACTATGTTTTCCTCACAAAGAGCACTTACCCACTAAGCACCGAGTGCCTGTGAATCCTGCCGCGCAGCTGCATGAATAGAGGTTCCGAAGATTGTTACATACGCCACCATTTGCACATGGATTGCTTATGCATTCATTTACATCTACAAGAGAAAAAAAAACTGAATGTCAAAAAAAAAAAAACAATTAATTTATCTTAAGTTATTCACTTTATTCTTTGACAAAACTAATAGCATAGCTAATTAAAACCTCTTTTATTGATGTATGACATAATAATATTAATAATAACAATAATAATAAATAATAATAATAACAATAATAATAATAATAACAATAATAATAATAATAATAATAATTTTATTGCATAGATCTTGTAGGCACACTTGTGTATATATTTAACGAAGAAACATTTTGTTATTATTGTTACTATTAGTGATGAAGTATGAATCCATTGTATGGGAAAGTTAATAAAGATCTGGGTGGAAATGTCTGCTCTGTCTGAATGATATAATTTTCTAATGTATTTCCTCTACGGTAAAGCAACCATTTTTTTTCTGCCTAAGTATAATTAGAAAACACATATTATCATTCATGATTATGCTTATCTTATAACTATAAATCAATTTATTTAAGAGAATTAAAAAGTAATAACTTTTTTTTGTAGAAAACTTAATAGCAATGCAACGGCTTAGGGGAAATAAGGTAGGCCTTGGTAGGCCTACAATATGCTAATAAAAGTCCAGCCACCCTTGAAGGTCGGCTCTTTTTCGGACTGGGATCTCTTTTTACTTGTACACTCATCATAATCTGTGAAAAGCAAAAAAAATTTCCCACATTATAGCATATTTATCACATGAAAACATGTAGTACAACAGTTGCAGCGGTCCCAAGTCTCCAGGAAGTGGCAGGAGTCTCCCAGATGTCGGAAAGGCCTCCTGCATTCCCGAAACCAGGCACGAATCTCCTGAAATTGTATTTTTGTGTGATTATCTTTTAAGTTAACTTACCAACATTACATACAACCCCAGTCCAGCCACCCACGCAAGAGCACGTGTACTGGTTAATGCTGTCGGTACATGCACCGTTATTTTGACATGGCTGGCTTTGACACTCGTCAATATCTGCGAATAAATGTTACCATATAAAACAAATTAACAAATGACATCACTTTTTTATTTTATTTTATCTGTTAAATTATATACATAAATCATCAAAGAAAGGTAAATACAGTGTTCGAATAAAGGACATAATAATACATCGTGAAGCATAGCTCGCAACGAATGTAGTCCTGTAAATAAATGAATAAAGAAATTGTGTTATAAAATGACTCTAGCGGGACTCGAACCTGCGACCTCTCGCTGTCAAGGCGAGCATTATAACCATTAGACCATGGAGGCTTAATGGTTAATACCACCAGATACACTCTATTACACAGCAAATCAATTTTTTTTTGCCCATCTAATAGAACACCACCAGGGTATTTCTGAATGCTAAATTAAATAAATTTCAAATTCAAGAATGACAAAAAGAAAAGTAAATTAACATTCAGATAATTTAAAATAAAAACAATTAAAATCTATTTACTTCTAAACATGTGACCATTTTTGAAGGCTCCATTATGAGAATGGCAGTGAACATTAGGCCTTTGTATGTTGCTATTCCATAATAAAGGTATTGATAATTTGAACCTAGAGTAATCACTCAATAGTGGCATACCTCCACCCTGTACCTGGCCTGAATACTGAATAACGCTTGCAGGCCATTCATGGGTGTGATAGGCTATTTCTTATATTTTTTTATACTTGAGAGAAGTTTCAAGACAATTTTTAGAATTTTTGATTTGACCATTGGTTTTGACTTTTCCAACCCAAAATTTAATCACCCCTTCCACTCCACTAAATTCTTGGATGTTCCATTCATTTAGTATTTGTGTATTCCTACTACAAAAAGACAGACAGGTTTAATTGTATACTTACCAAAGGTCTCGCAGTTTGTACCAATGTAGGCAGCTGGGCATGTGCAGGTGTACGTGTCATCTCCATTATCATTACAGTCACCCCCATTCTGGCAAGGGTTAGGATTACACAAATCAGCTATAAATAAACAAAAATAAATGTTAAAGTAAGATTGAAAATTAAAAATTATTTGTATGATGACATGGGTTAAGACTGGTTTCCATACAATCGCTGAACGCTATCGCTGACAACTTTCAAGGATACTGATTGGTTGGTCGATGACCATTATGACGATAAGCTAGATAAGGTCTCAAACACAGCAGATACAATAGAGTATCACATGTAGAAACATGCACACAACATTCATTCACAACAGACCTTGTATGCTACACGTAGTCCCAGAGTACCCTGTGGTACACTGACACATAAATGCTGTTCCGGAAAGCGTGCATGTCCCCCCATTCAAACAGGGTGAGGCTTCAGCATAATGCGCTATGTAAGCCAAAATCACATACAGCAACAGCTGGAGTAAAGACAATAAACACAACAGCACTGAACAGATAATAATGAAGCAAATCTTAAGCCACAATATTATGCACATCTTAGCTATACCTTATGATAATAAATATCAATGTTAATGGGTAAATTTTAAATTGATGACAATGCGAAAGGGACAAAGTTCAAAAACCTCCCCATGCAATTATTTATTCTTGATCCCTCATCCTTCAGAAAGGATGTTATAGACAGTTGGGCCCATGCATATAACAAGCTTTAAAAAAAACCTTGACACAATTTTTGAAAAGAACAGGGGACTGTCTCCCATAATAATTCTTTCATTTCATTCACATAAGTCAGCAACATTATGCCAAATTGTTGCCCCTATGCCTTGGTGCAACATACAACAGATTAAATTTACTGTACTGACATTCAAGTCTGTGATCGCACAAGAACCGAGAGTCCTATTCAAATTTCCTATTGAATTTTCAACAAGAATATATATTTTATAAATGAACATTTTTAATTTACAACAAAAAGCTAATTGTCGTTTTCATTAAAAATGATATTGATCTCTGTTCATTGATAAAAAATTTTGTGACAATCACAACATTTGTTGGTATGTCTCATTAAAAAAAATGTATATGGCCCATTTAAATTATTTAATACTATGGAAATATATTGTATGTTCCAATATTCAAAACATATGACAATCACCAACAGCTTTCTATATGCTACCAAATTATAAAACTTTGTCCACACTGTACATTTTATGTGACAAATTTGTGTGATGATTTGTCACATAAAATATGACAGTGCGGACAGACCTTTAGTGAGGTTTGTAGTATTAGTATATATTTTACTGGACAGCTAGCTATGTACAGTTAAAACATTACAATCTTGAAGCCACTGACAACAACTGACTGAAGCCTCTACCTGAAAGGCAGTCAGTTCCAATCCCAGTATTGCAAAGGCAGATATAAGTGTTGCCCGATGCTACACAACGGTGAGTGGAGGGCACGGTGAGCTTTCGCATGCCGACACTGAATCGGGACGGTATTAGAAAAGTAGGATTTTTCTTTCATTATTATCATCACAATAAAAATCATAATCATCATCATCATCCCCACTATCATAATCATTGTCACTATAGCACAATGACTATCACTACTACAGTATCATAATCTTTATCATTCCATCAACATTTTACCACTACTATCACTATATTTCATTATCATCATTCTTATCCCCACAATCATAATTATCATGTTTATAATATTGTTGTTATTGTGATCATTACATTACATTATAACCATCATAATTGGGGCTGCCCATGCCAAAACCAGCTTCAGTAAACAATACAATAAAATTGACTTTTTTTAATTTTCGTATTCTCCACATTATAAGCATTTTAATGTAAATATTTGAAAAACAAAACAAACAAGCATTTCTACCATCATTTTGATGTAATTAATTATTATTTCAAAAGTTATGAATAAAAGTATAGACGAATCCAAGAAGAATGGCGCCCTTTGGGATGGGAAGTCTCAATCATCATTAACCCAACTACTGTATTACATTAATCATCAGCATCACTATTATTACAATCATAATATTCATTGTCATAATATCACCACAACTTTTTTTCAATCTCTTCTATTACACAGTATTCTTCTTATAAATATTGTAGATAGATGTCAGCTTTAAATAAATTTTGAAGCTGGTTAGGCAAATAATTACATATAATATTTCAAAAATGTATGTGAAAATGTATGTGACCAATATGTATAAAGGTATTTCTTAAATTACTAAAAATGTGTAATAAATTTACATATATTTTATTTTATTATAATTATTTATTACTTTTATATATTATTTTAGTTGAATAGATTATCCAAAATGTTCAACTGTTAAATAGAATAAAGTATTCTTATGAAGCAAGCTCATCTGGTATCTCGCAGTTATCTCCAGTAAAATCTCCAGAACAAGAGCATATGTAGGAATTTCCAGATACTTGGCAAAATCCACCATTTTGACATGGATTATCATCACATGGAGAAGCTAACAAAAGATTATACAGTATTAATATAAAAATCAACAATTAAACAACTAAATATTTCTTCCCAAAAATATCCTTACAATAGAGACACTCTTTGAAGGTGATGTATCTCTGTAGTTCTCTCACGATCACATTATAAAAAAACTGCTGATTAATTACAAGGTGGCATGTAAAACTTGAGTCATTGAAAAAAATATTCTTTACTGATGTACGAATTTAATAAATAGGATTAAAGAACGATAAATGAATTTATTAAACAATTATTATTGTTATAAGATTAAATATAAAATGCATGACATCGAAATGATGCACTAATGTAAATTAGATTACGCCTGGTTTGCATAAAATTGCTCAATTATCGCTACAGTGATACTGCAATTTCTACATGTGCATAGCTGTCCCTGTGATAAACCAAGCAACGTAGCCAAAATCTGTTGGCTATAACATGTAGTATTTTTATGAAAACCAGGCTTTATTAAGAGGCCTTGTGATTTGCCCATATTTGGATTGTGATACGACATCTTCATGCCCATATATAGGTGTGATAAAATATTTTGAAAGATGCGCACTACTGAAACTTGCATTTTAGCCCTTCAAATGAAAAAAAATTGAAAGCAATGGAGAAACTGATCGTGATTTTGAAAAAATTGAAAATTTGAAAAAATGGTGCGATACCGAAACTTGCATTTTAGTCCTTCAGTAGAAAAACAGTGTGAAATTTAAAGCTGGGACCAATATAATGTAAAAATCTTATTACACACATTCTCAACAGTGTTAATGTTAGTGTTGATAAGCATAGTAAGATGATAAATAGGAAAGAAATGAACAGAAAAAAACTTACATGTGGATTCACAGAAAGAACCACTGAATCCGAGTGGACAAGAACAGAGCAGTGAGTCACCACTGTCTGTGCACTGCCCACCGTTCTGACATGGAGCAGAAGCGCATGGTAATGGTGCTATGAAAACAATGATATGAACAAGCAAGAATGTAAGCAACTAATTAAATGATCTAATGATTACAATAACACAGTAATAAAAAAAAAAGAAATTATTATTTATGATTATGCATAAAAAAAAAACATTTTTATTAATTATTATGATGTTAATGAGTGCAGCTACACAAGCTATGAAATACCACCACAAATTTATTAGGCAACTAATAAGATGATCTAGTGATTCCAATAATAGCAAAGAAAATGAAATTATTATTCACGATAATAATGAGTAAGATACTATTTAGGAGTAGATATATTTAACTAACTTATTTTTTTCAATGAAGAAAAAATAAGAATAAGAATGATTGTTTGATGACAAGGAATGTAATGATGATTATGATGAAGATGATGGTGATGAACATGATGATGATGATAAAGATGTTGATGATAATGATGAAGATGTTAGTGGTGGTGATAATGATAATGAAGATAATGGTGACAATTATGTTGATTTTCAATGAAGAAAGAAGAGCATAAGTATAACAATGAGCAGATCATAATGACAAAATAAGAATGACAACACTAGGATGATACAAAATTAAGAATGGTAATATAAATATGATGGCTATGTTAGATGACATGATGATGATACTGATGACATTTGATGATGATAAAAAATATCAAGAATGATAACACATTGACAAGGCTAATATGATGACAAGAAAATATGATGATGACAACATAAACTTGATGGTGAAAAATATAAATATGAACGAAGATGATGGTGGGAATAGAAGAACGTTACTGCATGAGCTGGTCCATGCTTTACACAAATTGTCATGAAAACGGATGTTGCTGATTGTGATGAGGATAGTGCTAATAATAATGATACAATGAAGATTAAGATGATATGATATGGGAAACAAGTTATATAATCAATGAAATATTAACAAAATTCAAGAATGATCCAATTACCAATTTGGCAGAAACCTCCAGAATAGCCAGTGACACAGGTACATGAAAAGGTCGTTGGGGTCAGGGTGAGGCACATACCACCATTCAAGCATGGCATGTTACTGCAGGGATTCTCCACTGAAACTAAAAAACAAATCGACACAGTTCACATTCCAATTTTAGATGGATGGATGGATTTATTTGGCGTAAACACACCAAGGATAACCGACGAAAGTCTGAAGAATACTTATTTCCAGTGGGGGTACTCCTGGTGCCGATTGGGCAGTACACCGAGACACAACCCCTACTCTTTTCCGAATAGCGTACTGCATTATTTAACGTGCATACAAGCTATAATGCACGCACCCCTGACGGCTTAAACATCTCATCTATAATACGGGGCGCTTTCATAGCCTGCATTTCAGCCCTCAAGCTAAAAAACACAAGGAGAGCATCAATGGGAATAAAACCGGGGACCTAGAAATCTCCACGCTTTAGCGCACACACAGTGGCTACCAATAGTTTAGCCGGCTGAGCTAAGCTGCTCTCTGATATATTTTGAACTAGGCATTTGTGAAATTTTGAATATTTGTTTAGAGCAACAAAACAGTACACAAAAAGCCCTCTCCAGACTCATAATTTCTATTTGGACAAAATGTATACATGCCTAAATATGGTCATGATTACATCACAATACGACCATATAAGGACATTCTAAGGCCTGTTTTCCACTAAGCGGATTTATTCACGCGAATCAAAATCGTTGGTTCGCTTCCTGAGCTCTGATTAGTTGCACACTTTCTCACTTCGCAAAAAGTAGAACAAACTACTGATTTCACTGAAGCGAAAAACTCTTATGGAAATGCGAATACTCATGCACATGAACCAACGCTTTCGATTCACAGGAATAAATTTTCCTACTGGAAAACAAACTTCAGACTTTTCCCCTTATCTCTTCTCTGGGCATGCTGGCCACCCCAAAATACTGGAATTTGCCAAATGATATATCTTAAAAATAAAGATTGATTCAATTACCATAGCATGTATCCTGTATCTCAACATAGAAACCATTCTCCACTTTATTGGAATCCGTCACAAACGTCATCCACAGCTGGTTGCCACTGCTTACAAACGACGGTGGAACCGTGTCCCCGCTTAACGTAACAATCTCGTTTGTTGATAATGGTGTGACTGTGTTTCCAACTTTCACAAAATCATGTTCGTCCTCAACATCAAATGTTGAAAAAACGACACGGATCTGAGTGTTTGACGTTGCAGTGAAAGTCCAAAGACAGTTTGCGTTGTTGGCGTAGGGGGCGGGATAATTCGGGGATGTAATGGTGACCTTATCGCAACTTGGTATTTGGTATTCTTGATTACATCCAAGAGCTATTAATAAATCATTTAGAAAATTATGCATTAAAATGTACACTGAAGCTTTTTTTCACACTGTCAAGACAAATACCCATATATGGGTGTCATATGACATCATCATGGCCATAGGCGGATTCAAGGGGGGGGGGGCCCATTTAAAAAAATTTTGAGAAAAAAAGAAAATTCTACGCAAATTTTGAGACTAAGAGTGCCATTTCCTGCCATCTAGATGTGCCATAATCATAAACTTTCTTACCTCAGCCCCAACCATGGTGGGGCTGAGGTAGTATACACCCTCCACCTGTAAAAGTCCCTCTTTGGGCCCCTCTATTTAAAATTCCTGGATCCACCACTAATGGCCATATATGGGCAAACCACATTATTTGTCACATAATGTTGATAAGATACAATGTATCTGTTTGTTACATAGACAATTTACAGAAAATTGTCATACAGTACTTACTCAGTTCGCAATGATTGCCTGTAAACCCAACGAGACATTGGCATCGATAACTATTAGTCTCATCAAAACAGACACCACTGTTCTGGCATGGATTCGGGTTACAGTCATTTACATCTAATGTATAAAATACAAATCAGTTTACCAGTAGTTGGAATGACTAACATTAGTGCTGTGGTGCTTAAAAATGTATGGAAGATTCAGTAAAGACATTGATTCCATATATTTACCATTTTTTGATATGATTATCATATTTCAATGATCAAAGTGATCATTATTTTAAAAAACTGATCTTTATCTATGAATATCATTGTCATCTTTTCATATATAATCATTTTTTATTCACTCATATATTTCATATCATTTTCATATCATTTTCAATACTGTATTATCACTTTTCAATAAATTATCAAATATGAATATGATTATCATCTTCAAAAATATGATTATCATAAATATCTTCAGATTTCAATTTGATATCAATATATATCATCTAATAATATGATCATCATCTATCAATATTTTCATCATTTATCAATAGGATCATCATCTTTCAATATGATCATCACCTATCAATATGATCATCATCTATCAATGTGATCATTATCTATCAACATGATCATCCTTTATCAATATGATTATCTTCTATCAACAATGATCATCATCTATCAACAATGATCATCTTCCATCAATATTATCATCATCTATCAATATGATCATCTTCCATCAATATTATCATCATCTATCAACATGATCATCATCTATCAATATGATCATCATCTATCAATATGATTATCTTCTATCAACAATGATCATAATCTTTCAATATGATCACCTTCCATCAATATTATCATCATCTATCAATATGATCATCATCTATCAATATGATTATCTTCTATCAACAATCATCATCATCTATCAACAATGATCATCTTCCATCAATATGATCATCATCTATCAATATGATCATCATCTTTCAATACGTATTTCTGAAAAACCAATTCATACCTGATTCACAGAGGGTCCCAGAAAAACCAGTAACACAACTACAGGTGAACATGTTGGCACCATTGACACACGCGCCACCATTCTGACACGGATTGCTTGCGCATTCATTAATGTCTACAAAGTATAAAACGAACTGTTTAATATTTTAAAAAAACTATATCATAATTAATATTATAAAATTGAAAAGATCTGTGTATCTAGGATGTATTTAGAGTTACAAACTTGAGCCCAATAACCCATGACCTTTCAATCACTACACCTAAGTATCTCAGGCATTCTAACAAAAGATAATGTAACGTACTGTAGTTGGGTTTATATAGCGCTTTATATTGAAGTGTCAAAGTGCTTGAGGTGTGTATTAGTTCATACAGTATCTTGCTTCTTCCCTAAGGGTGTCTACATGTCTAAGCTACCTGTTAACCGGTACCAGCTATTCTTGTCTGTCCACAACAGGGGCTGTATGAACCAGTACAGAGGAGTAACCACCTACTCATCTCAAAAGATGTACTGGGTTCTTCAAAGTGCACATGAGCATAATTTTATGACTGTACCTTGCGACTCCCCCGCCTTAACCACTCGGCTATTCGACTCGCATGATCACATAATGCATAACAATTACACATAGTACTAGGACTGTTGACTCAATTTATTTTTCAAAGGTAAATTCTACTATTAAGGACACTTGGCAACAATCACTTGGCAACAGTCGGTTCATCAAAGTAAAGCCTCTTTTCCACTTGGCGAATGTATACGTGCATCAAAAGCATTGGTTTGCTTCCTAAGCTCTGGAAAAGTTTATGGAAATTGGAATATGTACTTTGAATATTAGGAGTGGTTGGCACATTGGTTATGGCTTGGTTTCCCAACCTTGAGATCAGGGGTTCAAAAACTCTCGCTGTGCAGGTCGCTTGTGTCCTTGGGCAAGGCACTTTATCTACATTTATCTCTTTCTATTCGGGAGTATTAATGGGTACCAGGTAGGATGTTGTGGCATTGAATGTACTAGTTTTGAGCACTAAGTACAAGTGCATGACACTTGGTATACTCCCCAGGAGCAGAGAAGGTTCCACTTTGTGCTGGTTTGCCA